AAAACTTCCATACATAAGAGGATAAACTGAGCCTACTCTAGTAAAATATGACCTCAAATACTTTCTCCAAAGTACCTCTTCAGCAAGGGATAAAAAAATTTCAGCTTCATCAGGGCCATAGCCAGTAGATCCTAAAGCCAACATTCCAGGAGCAAAGCAAGCTAATTCATCCATCTGCATACACAAAGCACAGCCATCCAAAGTGTTCACAATTTAATTGACAAACACTACATTCTGCTAATTCATACACTACCTTATCGGACAGCGAGCTTCCAGTCTTCTCACATATATATGCATATGAGGATGGTGTTGTCCTCCGAATCAAGCTTTTCAGACCTTTCATTGATGTCTCCCACATTTCTCTGATTCCAATATAGATAGGCAATGATTTTGTCATAACAGAGATTCAATTAACTGCCTCAGATGAGATAAATAAAGGTCATAACAAATTGTCATAACTCATCAGAGAAAAGAAGGAGAGCACACATGAACAGGCATGTGCAAAAGCAAAAGACTGACATGTCTCAGCATTACCAACTGTGAAATGATGAAAATTGTGTACATCTATTCATCAGGATCAACCGTCATTCAAAATACTACTAATGCATCATACTAACTGATGTCTAAAGGTTCTCACCTGTAGTGCATTACGGATTCAGTTTTGTTCCCTTGTATCCAAGCCTTGAGTAGATATTCATAAAAGCTGCATCCACAAAAACATTTTGCAAATTAATTGGCCAGCAATACCTACGGATATAAACCCTCCGAAAGTTACTGGGTAACTTGTGCTTTCAATTTTGAGCCTTTTTTATATCCCTAGCTCGGAGGGTTACTCAAACCTTTCGTTCCTTGAAGGTCCAATTAATTAATAGTCAACTACATAGAGGGTCTCTACTAGTCTATATATTCTTTGATTTCATTCCCCCCATAAGATCAATATCACAACCAATGAGGTCTGCAAGTTTCACATCTAAGTAATACCCGATCCGATAGTTTACGATATAGATAGATATATATTTAACAACAACATTCTAAGAAAGGATCAGCAGAATACTTTAACCTAGTAATTTGTTTATAATTGAGAAACATGAAAAAAATTATAGAGATCATGACATGTGAAACTCATGACTGTCATGGTCTTCTACTATGAAGTTTTTAATAAACAATCCATAATTTGACTTCATATTTCAACTAGGCAAATCAATCAAAAATTGATGGTTTTACCTTCATAACCTAAAACTTTCCTTCAACTTCTATCAACGTTGTTTAAAAATTATCTATCAATAATTATCCAATTTCAACTCATTACAGTTGAATCCCAATAATAGCACAAAAATTCAATCTAATTCACGAAATACAGTTTCAGGATCAAAGTTCAGGGAAGTAAGCACTAGCTTGAACTAGAGTCATAAACTGTGGTTCAACAGCCAATTCTTCTCAGAATCTACAAGGCCTCAATTAATAGTAGAATTGTTGAATCACACATATAAAGCCTGGCATAGCTAACCTGAGATTCCTCTCCTTTAACAGTAATTTTCAAATAAATAAAAAATCATTTTTACCAAATATGGATAACAATGATTCCTAAGTTTCAATACCTATCACCCATGGCACCAAAGGAAATTTTTGAGTATGAGGTAATTCCAGTGTGAGGATCAATATATATGGGAAGCAATCCATCAGCAGGGAAGGTTTTATGAAGCTCTTCGATGACATATTCCACCTGAAATATCAGCATGCAAACAGTTATAGTGAGGAAAGGAAGCAAGGGGTTATTCTATCTATCATTTACAATGTTTGTGCATTCTAAAGAAATTAGCTTGAGATATGAGGATAAAAACAATAAGTCCATGGTAAGGATAATGCTACTCATCAAATAGGCAGGAATAAATCTACGTTCTGAGCTACATTGTGAAAGCATAAAGAGCACCTTCTGCTGGTACTTAGGATCATTTGTCCTCTGAGATAGAGCAATAAATTCAAGCTGCTCTGAACCAGCATCTGCCAGAATACTTTTTCCCTAGTAACAGGAAATATTTAAATAAACAAAAAAGATAGTCTGATTATGTTAGAAAAAGATTCTTAACTGATGCCATTTAGATGCCTACTTCAACTTAGCAACATATAGTTACAACCCAGAAATTTAAGCAGCAATTAGTGTGAATACAGACTTTACAACCTAGGTAACACCAAGCAGATGTATGGTTATTTAGAGATATTTTTTTAAGGACCTTTCCTATTGAGAGGGGCGATAGCATACTAAACTCACACACACTACACGGATGCTAGGACTCCAACCCAGGACCTTGCCTGATTGAGTGAATACTCCAAACCACTACACTAGTAGATCCTTTGCGGTTATTTAGAGATTTAGTAGTTAATAGATCATGTAGCTCAAACTCGGAAGAAGACACCAAAGAGTAGATTTGATAGATCATTTCTTCTCTTCAGGCATATATAAAATACAAAATTGAAAATTTACTTGAGCCATCTTTGATCTTGTAAATGATATTATTCAGTTACTAATAGTTTTAATTTTTTACGACAAGCAAACAATAAAAATGATACAAACGATTTGATGTTCAGCTTAAAAAATAAAAACAAAAGGGAGCAAGCAATGCCATAGATGGTCTGGGAAGAACAACCTAAGAATATCAATCAGCAAAGAAAGAAGTTTGGAACTTACCCCTGTCCACCGAGGGTTATGGGCATCCCCATATCTCAAGTTTATTATGTTATAGGGGATTCCTGAGGGTGTATTCCACGCAGGCAGCAACCTATCTGCAATATCCCTAGCCTTTTCAAGGAACACTTTGTCATCAGAGAGATCATATGCGCTAAGAAGTCCACCTATAACTCTACATTCCACAAAAGTAGCCACAAAAGAGTAAGTTACTGGAGATGACCAGGAGCAATGGACATGTAATACAATATTCTGGAACTTGTCCAAATGAGGTAGGACCCCTTCTCCCACATCCGAGAAAAGAAATAAGCTTGGTATTTATATAGATTAAATTAAACCTTCTAATGCAACCTTATGGTTGTCTCAAAAACACTAGCCTTGTAATTCTTGTTGAAATTCAACGACTTCGCAACCCACCTGAAATTATTTATGATTATCAATATTAGCCACCTCAAAGTGAAACTACTTCAAGAATGGAAAAAGTAAAACCTTAACCAGAATAATTAAAATAAATTCAGATATTACAGCTAAAACTATTTGAGAAAACTAACCTGTCAAGAAAACCATTTGCAAATTACAATTGTGTTTTCTCAATCTGAATGTGTATTTTTACAGTTATATACATGTTACGTGTCAGCCATATATATGGAGAAACTATGATCTGTGGGAGAGATAAATTAAAACAGTTAGAAACTCACTCTCTAGCTCTTTGGAATTGCTCGTCAAGACCCATTATGTACAATGTATCAAGAGAATCCACTAGAGTTGCTCCTAGACCGCCAAAACTATCAACACCATCTCTTGTTTGTGGCTGTTTAGAATGAGAGTTTAAGTTATTAGAGTTGCAGTATTCATTCGGCAACATGTTGTCCTCATTGTGGTGCATTTCAATTTTATTCAATGAAAGTTTGTTTATTATATAAAAAACAAAACTGGAGTAGTAGTATACGAATCCACTAATAAGCAAAACCCTTAATAATGAAGCTATGTTACCAATGAAGTTATGTTACCGCATTTATTGACCAACGTAAATGTTAGGAAATCTGTTACATTGAGCATTGATTGAGCATTAAAGCAGGAAGCATACCTGGAGTTCATCACGACCCCATGCGTACATCTCGTAACAAGTCCAGGCATGAATCATAGCCTCTTTAACTGCTCTTCTTCGTTCAACATTGAGAGGATCATCCTCCTCCTCAACAATGCTCCAACTTCTTATATGCTTCTTCACATTCTCTAGCTACAATTTACCATTTTTCATCAATCATCTCCCTAAAAAAATTCTCAATTCCAATTAATTCCACCACACTCTAATCTAATTAACTCATCTTTACCTGATTCTTCAAAGTTATCAGTTCCTTATTCAACCTCGAAACCACTAACTATTCAAATAACAACGCCAGACATCACACATTTTCCAATTTCCTAAAATTATTCGGTAATTTCATCCAATTATTTTGGAATATTGATACAAATAGCTGAATATATAGCATGAGCATGGTGCATGTATAATTACATAAATGATTCAAAAAATCAAAAGAAAAAACCTGGTGCTCTACACTGAGAGATTCGAGGCCAGAGAGCAGCCATGTGAGAGCAACGAAGGAGATAATGAAGAGTGCCAACAGCTGCGGCCTCCTCAGGTTATGCTGCGGGTGAAGATATCTCCACCCTCCCCACCACCACGATTGCGATGAAGAAGATAACGATTTTTTTCCCATTTTTGGGTTTATTTTTATTTGTTGAGAAAAAAAATAAAAATTAAAAGAAAAATGAGTGAGATTTGAGGTAGAAACGAGAATGAAAGCTTTTTGCTTTTGGAGCTTTGATTGGCTGCCAAAATGGAAATGGAAAGTCGTTGGTTTGATTTTGAACTTGGAAGAATGGTGCCGTACTGAATGGGACGGAGGGAGTCTACGTGGATTGGGCTGGAAACCTTTGGGCCTTACCAAACTTTGAACTTGGTTCCTAGACCATATTTAAAAGCTTTTTCACTATTTAGTGCTACACAGGAGGGAATTCAAACTTTAGTGCAATGGAGCGGGTTTATTGTTCGGACCAACTGACTTAACTCACGTCTGCATAACAGACAGGTGATATTGAGGGACACGTGAATACTCTTTAATCCCTTAAACTATATATGCTTCGTTTTGTTCCAGACATATTTAAAATCATTACTTGCAATGTATTTCAGCATTTTTAACCTTAGGGATTATTGGTGTTGGTTCATTTTCTTGGAGAAACAGTCAGTTTATTGCAACCATTCAAAATTAAAAAAAATGGTATTAACCAATGCACTTAGCCAACTACCCTCTGATATACCAGTCAAGACTTCAAATTTTCGTAACTTCATTGTCCAAGTCGTGCAACAGAGAGGCAGGCCAAAGAGAGCCCCTCAAAACACCACAAAACCATCAAATCTAGCATTTGACATATAGTACAGTACAATGAACTTGTTTCCACCCATCTACATCTAGCCCTCATCTGAATGAGGAAACTTGCGCTTTAAGATCTCATTCTCCTTCCTCAGCTTCATAATCTTGGTCTTAAGTGTTTCAACCTGCCAAATCGAATTTGAATCTCGTTGCTGCTCAACAAGCTTTGATCTGCTAACCAGCACTGAGTGTAGCACCGAACAAATCATTACCATGTATTAGTTTTTGGCAGCCAAAAGAACCACCAAGAAATGACATGTAAAATAATTTGAATAGCAAGAGAAACTGAAAGCAACCTCACACTCACATTCCTTTTGTAAGTCCTGGAGCTTTTTACTCAACTCATTTTTCTCCTCCTGTTCAATTGCAAGACAGTCCTTTAAATCCTGAATCTCCAGAATATCTGCAAAGGAACAATTATCCAATTGATCAACATGAACATGCTGTACCTGGTAGGTACTTGCTAACAGAGATAAAAGCGAAAGGAGTTCATTGGGACCTCACATTTTGATTCCACATCTAACTGCACATGATCCAACCTGCTCGCTAGAACATGCAGATGGGATTTATGAGCTGCCAAATCCCGTTGAAGGTGATCAATGGTTGCTTCATTTGTCGCCTTCTCAAGCATAAACCCTCTGATATAAGCAAACAGTTTTAACATTTTACGCAGAGTAAATTTCTTTCGCTACACATTCTAAGTTCGTCACACTGTGGATTGAAATTACACTTTTAAACACGGTTTCATCTATGTTCAATTATTTAAATTGACAATCTAACAATGTAACATACCTGCTACGAAGACTACTCTTAATACATGTAGATCAAAACCATATATTTAGACAAGATTTCATCTTGACAGTCAGATAACATCGCATACTTGCTAAAAAAAAAGATAGCAAAAGAAGCTTTCTTATATCCTTTAACATGTGCAACTTTTGCCAAAATTTGATACTCAAATGGTTAACTGAAATGTTAAAAAACTATATTTTGGTATTCACTGAAAAACTCACCTAATTTGAGCCTCCAAGTCATCAACCTTGGCAGCACAGTTTTTCTTAGCCAATTCCATGGCCTTCCTATGCTCTTCTTCTTTACTGAGGCACTCCTCCCTCATCCTCTTCACCTCTTCTTTCAAGCCCCGGCTTGAGCTACGGCGTTCAAGCTGATCGGCAACATTGTTCAAACACTCGGTGTACAATCTGGTCAATCGCTCATTTTCTGCAACATTATTAAATCAAATCAACGCTTTCCAATTCAGTAATCTGAAACACTGAACTGAAAAACGCTGCGTTTAATTATCAAGAAGAAATGACCGGCCTTGCTTGAGATTGTTGCAGGTGAATTCCAGAGCTTCTCGCTTCTTGGCCTCGGCATTACACGTGGACTTCACCGACTGGATCTCCGCCACGCCGCTCTTGAAATCCTGAGAATTCTGAGTTCGAATTAAGAAAAGAAAAAGAAAATCATCGATCGGTTTGTTTGGCTGCCGAGAAAAGCTCTTTTTCTCTTCTTCTTCTTTTTTTCCGTGGTTTTCTAGGCAGCCAAACGGAATCGGAATATAGGATAGTCAGGAAGGAAGGAGGAAGAGGAAGATTTGTACCTACCTGGTAGATTTGATCCAAAGTGGAAAGCAGAGAATCCATTTCTTCGTCACTGGTTGCCGCCATTTTTTCTCCTTTTCCAATTGCTGCACTTCAGCGCCTTTCTATTTCTTTCTATTTTTTGTTTTTGTTTTTTGTTTTTTGTTTTTAATGTTTGGATATGGTGTGGGTTGGGTTGGGTTGGGTTGAGTTTGGATAAAATTAGTGGAGGAAATAAAATTAAAATTAAAATAAATGAAAGAAAATACACCGTTTATGAGAAAAATTTATCTAAATATCAATGGTTAGTTAAAATTTATACAAGATGTTTGTAGTTCAAATGGTTAGCAGCAATTAAGTCACTCCATGTAATGTTCGAATTTCTCTTTCAACAATATCGCTTGTATATAAAAACAAAAACATGAATAGTTATGCTATCAACCGTTATTTCCTTTTACATAAGAAAAAGAAAACGGCCTTTTGAGAAATATTAAAGGAATGGGTGGCCATACTTGCGAGTATAAATGAGGTACACTTTGCATATTGGTTTAGGATTTAGGGTTTGGGGAACTCAAGAGAAACTAGGAGACCGTACTAGGAGAATCTGAACGATAAGGAATTACTGCCCAAACTAAGAATGAAGGGGACAAGAACTCAGCCCAACATGAAAAAATATACATAATTTATAGGAAGCAATTGGTGGCCAAAAGAGATAAGAAGGGAAGGAATGTTTCAATGTATATCCCAACAAAAAATTGGAACCAAACAAAATAAACGTTTCAACGTAGCCAAGTGTAGCAAAAAATACACAAAAATTAACAACGAAATTGTGCACACATGGACAACCATGGCAATCCCGCGGTCACTAAACACTAAACCCTATTTCTTCCATTTCCAAGTGCCAATTTTATTTTCATGAGCTTGGCCACCACATCCTTGAAGTCCATTCTTTCCTCTGGCACTTGTTCACAACACCTCAAGCTTATTTCCATGATGGACAAAATGATATTTTTTGTGGCATTTACGTCTCTGCCCTCTTCTATGCTCAATAAACCAGCATCCACTACTTCTAAACAATTGTTGGGGAGTGACTCATTTATCCATTGTCTCAAAGTCTGTTCTCCGGCAAACATTTCATCTGTGGGTTTCTTTCTCGTCATTATTTCCAACATCATTATCCCATAGCTATAAACATCACCTTTTGTAGACACTTTTCCCGTAGAACCATATTCTGTGGACACACATCAATTGTAAAACAATTTAGAATGTTAGTGTCAGTCTCACGCAGAATGTGACACAATCTCAGTTGTTGACGATTATTATGGACTCCACAATCGATGAGTGTGGATCCCATTGTTTCATGAACATCAACAGTGGAAATTGTCTCATGAGCAATAGATATGCTAGCATTCCCTATCAATTAATCTAAGATGAGAGATCAATAATTCACCATCAAATTTCAGATTTGCATAAGTTAAGGACAATTAGTTAATCTTAGTAACTAAAATACATAAATTACTTGCTTTACCTGGTGCAACGTAGCCAAGTGTACCAATTGTTCTGGTTTGTGTTTCGTCTTTATTTTTTGCCAAGATTTTTGCAAGACCAAAGTCTCCCACATGTGCAACCATGTCTTCATCGAGAAGGATATTGCTAGGCTTCAAATCACAGTGCACCACAACTTCTGCTTGGCCATGGTGAAGATATTCCAGAGCTAAGGCAATATCAACCATCATGCTCACTCTTTGTACAAGATTCAGACAATAGTTGTGAGAGTATAACCACTTCTCAAGGCTACCATTACACATGTATTGCAGCACCAAAGCTCTTACCTCATGGCTCGAGCATGAAGTTATGACCTTGACAAGATTTCTGTGCCGGATTGTTCTCCACACCTTACATTCCGCATCGAAACTTTTTAAGGCACCCTCCATTTGCAAGTTTAGAACTTTCACAGCAACTGTTGTTCCATTAGACAGTATCCCCTTGTACACAGAACCAAAACTTCCTACTCCGAGTGCGTTGCTTTCGCAGAAATCGTTTGTAGCACGTCGAAGTTCTTGATATGATATCATTCTATGCTCTATCGCCGATAACGTGGGTTCAACTGAGCTTGGAAGGCCTGCATTTCTTTTTTTATTGTACTTTATCAACCTATAAACGAGAGCTGCAAGGATCATCGTGGAGGCAATGGCTGGAAGAATATACTTGAACAAATGAACTGCTGCCTTAGAATTTTGAGTGCTTTGAGGGGTGCAATTTCGGACACCAAAATCTGGTCTCCCACAAAGTTCTCCATTCTCCAAAAATGATTGGGCAGTGAAGTTGGCAAAAGGTCCGCCAGAAGGAATCTGTCCCGACAGATGATTGAAAGAGAAATTCAAATGCTCAAGATATTTGAGTGTTTCCAGAGACTTTGGTATTGTGCCAGATAAACTGTTGTGTGATAGGTCCAAATCTTCCAACCCTTTCAGATCACCAAAAGTTTTTGGAACGTTTCCTACAAACAGGTTGTTTGACAAATTGAGAGAGCGTAGGCTTTGAAAAGCTCCAATGACGCTTGGAATGTTTCCAGCAATTTGGTTCCAAGATAAATCCATCACTTGAACAGCATTCAACTCTCTCATTCCTTGAGGTAAGTCGCCATTAAAAGAATTGAATGACAAATTTAAGACCAACAGACTTTCAAGGTTCCACAAGCTCATGGGTATCGATGATGTCAAGCTGTTGAAGTCTAGGAGAACTATTTGAAGGCGCCTGAGGTTTCCTATGCAATTTGGGATCAATCCAGAGATTTTGTTATTTGATAGCAATATTTCCCCTAGGTTCTTCAGGTGACAAAGCTCATTTGGAACGAACCCTTCAATACTATTGTTTTGAAGATACAATCTTTGCAAAGATTCCAATCCTCTAATTGATGATGGTATTTTTCCACTCAGATTGTTGTAAGCTAAGTAAAGGAAGGTCAAGTTCCTCAAGGAACCAATGCTCTTGGGTATATGGCCTCTAATTTGGCATGCAGGTGTATAAATTACCTGGAGGGACTGAGAGAAGTTTCCAATGGAATCGGGTATGATGCCATTTAGAGGATTTTCATACAAAATTATATATTCCAGTGAACTAGAATTAAACAAAGAAGAAAGGAATCTAAGCTCATCGAACCCGGGTTCTCCCGTTAGCTGATTTCTTGCCAAATTAAGGAATTGGAGATGTTTCAAGCTACCAAGATTCATGGGTATTGGTCCATACAGCAAGTTGTTGTCAGCATCAAGCTGAGTGAGCTTAGTAAAATTTGAAAAATAAGTTGGGATAGGTCCTGTAATTTGATTGGTATGAAGAAGTAAGGAAGTGAGGTTAGGAAGAAAAACTGCAGAGGAAGGAAATTCTCCAGAAAGAGCATTGGATTGCATTTCTAAATTTTCCAAGGAGGAGATGTTGAAGATTACTTGAGGTATTGGACCTGTTAGGCTATTAAAAGCCAAGCCCAAAAAAGCTAGATTAGAAAGATGTCCCAAATTGCCTGGAATATTTCCCTCAATGTTATTGCGTCCCACAGCAAAACTCTTCAAGTTGGACATGTTTCCAATTGAAGGAGATATAGTACCTGTCAGCTTATTACCACCAAGGTATAGGATTTGAAGATGTTGCAAGCTCCAAACTTCTTCTGGGATGCTTCCAACAAAGCTATTGTATGACAGAGATAAGATCTCAAGCTCGCTGCATTGACCAATTCTAGAAGGGATCTGGCCACTGAACTTGTTGAAAGAGAATGAAATGGATTGGATATTTGGCCAAAAATGGCAAAGGTCCACAGGAAGACTTCCTGAGATGCTGTTCTTAGGTAGATGAATCATTTCTAGAGAAGTTAGGTTAAGGAGAGCAGAAGAGAATGAACCTGTGAGGCTGCTCTCTTGCAAGTTCAATTCTTCCAATGTTGAAATGTTACCAAAGGATGAAGGAATTGTACCAACCGTAAAATTATTCAGGCCGAGGTATAACCTACGGAGTCTAGGTAGGAAACCCAACTCCCTAGGTATAGGACCTGTTAGCCTGTTCACTTCAAGGACTAGGACTTCGAGCTTCTGGCAATGGTACAAAGTTGGAGGGATGCTTCCTTGCAGCTGGTTGTTATGCAATAAAAGTGACCTCAGGCGATGTAAACGGCTGATTTCATTAGGCAAGGGCCCAAAGAAGCTGTTGTTTTGAAGATTGAGCGAGACGAGGAAGGAGAGGTTGCCAATATGAGGGGAAATGGTGCCTTGGAGAGCCATATAGGAAAGCTTTAAGGCTGTGACTCTTTGCCTGCGTTTGCTACAAAAGACCCCAACCCAATTACAGAAGCTTGTTTTGGTAGTCCAGTTACCACCCAAAACAATATTGGTGGGGTCAAAACTGAGTTTAGATTGGATGGCAAGGAGGGCAGATTGATCTGTGAAGTTGGAAGTTGATGAAGATATGGCAGACTGAAGGAAGCATGGGTAGTGCAATAATACAACTCCAAAAAGAAAGAGAATTTTTGTGCATTTCATCATGAACATGATGGGCAGTTTGGATGTAATATTAAGGTAAAGGCTCAAGTTTGGTTTGACAGTGCTGCAAATATGCGTGTGTGAATTTGCATGATCGGCCATCCCGTTTATATAATAGTAGTGACAAGATAGCCATTTTCCTGGAGCTTTGACTTCAACAATTGACCCTTGTTTTCTTGTACTTCCATCAGCATCAAGAATTAATGACTGGGACCATATAACTTACTAATAACTTTTTCTTTTTTTGTGGTTAATTGGGTCAAATTTGGAAAGGGTAGAGGAGGTGCCATCGGAGTTTAGAACATGAGACAACTCATTTGCACGCAAATGCTTTTATAATTGAGCTATTGACTTGTTGGCAACTTATTAATAGCTAAATTAGTAAGCATATATAGATATACATGCATGGTTTTTTCAGTGCAAGTAATTCTCTAAACTACAGAGGAAGGAGGTGTTTTCCTCACATACACTACCACAGTGTCATGAGATTTCGAATTTGAGATTACTAGTCTGCAAATCAAGATTCTTTTCCACTGGACCTATATATGCATGTGTTTAATCTCTAATCAATTTCTAATAATCATTAATATTCTAATT